ACACGAGACGACGGAACATCGACGAGTGTAACCGTGTCCCTATTGCTTGTGTTGTAAAGGAGCTCAAAGCGACGAACGAGAGCCTGAAGAGCCTGCAGACACAGCTGGAACTGGCGTACGCGTCGACCGCGTCATCGGGAGCAGCCGTGGCGGGCGGATGTGCTGGTCTCGGGCTAGGTAGCGTATCAGGTGCAGGCGGTACTGTCCTCGGAGGTAGCGTGGCGGTTCCAGGCGGCGTGCCCGGTAGCACCACCCTGACGGCCATCTTGGAGACAAAAGACGCGCGCATACAAACCCTGGAGAAGGAGGTGGCGTTGCTCGAGGCCGAGTTACAGCGTATTAAGGAATGCGGCGGTAGATTAAGGGAGCAACTGCTGAAAGCGACCGCCATGCCTAGTAGTAGCGGAGGCGGTAGTGTACAGCAACAAACGATCACGCAACAGCAGCAACAGCAGCAACAGCAGCAACAGAGTAAAGTTGCCACGGGAGGTATCGAATCACATGTGCGGCAGGGATTGGTGACGGCCATGGGTGGTCCGCAGCAGCCCGGCACGTTGGCCCTGGCCAGGGGACCGTCCGTGATGACCTCGCTGGTACCGTATGGTCACTCGTCGTCCTCGGCATTAACCAGTTCATTGCTTGCCGGTTCGACAGGTGGGACCACGAGCGGCGGAGGCGGTGGGGGCGGTTCCTCGTGCCTTGGCGGCATTTCGTCGGGCGCTGCCACCGGCGTGGTCAATCCCTATACCGATCGTTACGCCGATCATCATCTCCATCAGCTTCATCATCATCCTCATTATCATCAACATCATCTCCATCAACATCAGCAGCATCAACAGCAGCTGCAGTTGCAGCATCAGCAGCAAATGCAGCAACACTTGAAACAAATTAAGCCTGCGGCGCAGGGCGCACTGGCGCTGCACGCGCACACCTTCAACAAGCACGACATGAACTTCAAACGGCAAGTAAGTTTCTTCATCAACAACGTGCGGATCGAAAAGAACGACGCCGTCTAGGGAACTGTCGAATTCTGGATTCTCTGTTCTATGTTGCATCACGCCCGAACCTTGCACGCCGCAGGTTCCTCTGCGTGAGTACCCGATCTACCCGATCTACCCGATCTACAACAGGTATACTGAGAGAAAAGGCTCACGATACTACACAATATACTACCATTACTACTACTACTACTACTACTACTACT